CATTTTTACCCTCCCTGTTGCAGCAAACCTAAGTACTCGTTAAACAAATGCTATTTAAATGGGAAATAAATGTGATATTTTTAAGGAGATATTTTAGAGTAAATCCAATCAGGCAAATGGAAATTCGCTAAGTCTGCAGGTTTGCTGCGGCGGGGGTATTATAAGGTAATTGGTTACGGAGAAAATTTAAAACATTGTAAATTTAAAATTCCCATGTTATTATTACGGAGAGTACATAAACTGTTGTAGTTTGCTTGTTTATGATTATATTTTAATGAAACTTGGCAATTTATTTATTAAAACAAAGCTATTAATATATTAATAAAAACTCACTTTATTAATCTCCTTTTAGCAGCAAACCTAGGTGTGACGCAAAATTCTAGGGGGGGAATAAACTAGTATTCACCAAGTCAGGCTAGGCCTACCCCTAGAACCGGCCACACTCAAATTTCTTCCCCGGAGTGCTCAGAAGGAGCCGAGAAAAATCCAGGGGTCGATACGAAGGTGTCACGGCTTTGACTGATCAATTTATTTAAAATTTAATCGAAGGCTCAGAGCTCTAGAAGCGCTCAGGAAATCCTGCAGACGCTCAGTAGGAGCTATTTCATCCTCACCTTCGCTAACGTGTTTTGGAGAATTTTGCCTAACTTTTAGAATGACTCTGTAGGGCCGACGAGTATTCAATCTTAAGCCAATGTGATATAAATACTCGTATTAAACTGTAAACTATCTGGCTAAAGACGGTGGTGGATAATAAAATCGAATCTAATGTAAAAAGCAATTCCTACAGAGTCGTCGGGGCCTAATTAATATAATTGGACGGATAATTTAACGTGAGTGGTTTAAAATAAATTTAATACTAATTTTTGTAGCTGATTATTCAACTCAGCCTGCTCCCAAGACTCGATTCTTTCACCCGCCAAAGACGGGGCTTAGAACTCAGACGACGAGTCTCGGGGTATTAAAACGTCGAATTAACTGGAATAACTTAAGTAATAATTTAATCGTGAAACGAACCGAATTAACGTAATTTAATAGCCAATTGGTTTAAAAGAGCCGAAAAATATCCACCGCTAGTCACTGGCAGGCAGGAACTGGCGGGTTTTGTACGAGTCGGCAAGAACTAAGTTAATAAAATTTAGAAAATTATAATCGAACGTAAACGGATAAAATAAATGGCAGACGAGTATGCGTATGTTGGAAAAAGAATATTTAAAAGAAAGTAGGAAAGTCTGAAAACGTAGCTAACCTGAATCGATATCGTATGACGAAGTTAGTTTCGTTGTGCGAAGAGGCTTCTCGTTAACGAGTCGACGGTCGAACAGCGAATAATTCTTGTCCGGCTCAAATCCCGATTTTCTCGGCCGCGGCTCAAGCGCTGCGGTGGCGATTTCGGAAACTAGCCAACAGCTGATCGGGGATTCGCCTGTTGAGCCGGTCTAGTTGTCGTCTGTCGTTGGTCAACAAACACCATTTTGAGGTTAAGTGATGTTGTAATCGGCGTTAAATATTCGTAAAATCGGTCGTTTTAACTTTATTATGTGAAACGGAGTGCTATTATGAATAAATATATCGTTGTGGGTGTGTTTGTGTACTTCACTGTTATTAAAAGTAGGCCTACGTTCTTTGGCCCATAGCCCAAGCTATGGCCAACACATAGGCCTAGGAGTAGGATGTTGTGGATAAAAATCGGGTAAGTTATGGTGTTTGTTGACTAGCAATACGTTTTTACCCCCCTTAAAATTTGGTACCTCACATAGGTACTCATGAAACCTAATGTTATTGAAATTGATTTAATTGAAAATCAAATCAGGGAAATGGAAACTCACTTAATCTGCAGGTTGGCTTTGGTGGGGGTATTTTGCCTATTCCAAGAAATGCAGAGACGGTAATGCAACCTTTTATTGCAAGGAAAGTGAATAGGTTGCTGCAGATCTCTGGAGGGAGTTGAGAACACAAAACACTGAATGTTTTTTTTTTATTTTAGGTTTTAACGGCTGCCATTTTGAAATGACTTGATGAAACTTGACCATTTTCAACCCAGGCCGAGATAATGTATTCAAGCACTTGTGTGCCAAATTTCATGAAAATCGGTTCAGGCATTCCGTCGTTATAGCCAATTCATGAGGACCCAGCATCCTCTTTCAGCCGCCATTTTGATGACGTCATTACGGACGACTGAGGTCCTTAAAAATTGGGGTCTGGGCGGTTTTAGGTTCAGAAACTTGTATACTATAATCACCTAAAATTGCAGCCTCTCCACTAGAACTGAAATATTTTCCTGCTACCCAACCTGACTATATACAGATGCAGCACATTGCAGAATTGACTGGTAAATAAGTAATCTAAATAATGTAATATTGCTTACTGGCTTAATGATAAATCACGATCGGCTGTATTGAAGTAAACAAAAATCAGCAGTAAATATCTTCTAATGCTATTCATATGGCAAGTTTGTGTAAAAGTTTTGGGAATTTCACTATTTTTTTCCTCCCGTCACGAGATCGAGACCTTTTATTTGAGCCCTCTCCTGTCATTCTACGACTTTCCAGTCGCCCACAATTTTGACGCAAAGAATCTGCTTACGTAATTAATATATTATATAGATAGATATAGATTATGCCTTACTTATCGCTAAAACAATTATTATCTTTACAAAACAAATTTTAAGCTTAAAAAGACTAATTAAAACAAAATTAAATTAAATCATCTTTTTAAACTATAATAATTTGTGATTTCTCTTGAATTCCAAAAATCATCCAAAGAAGACAAAAATAGTTTTAAATAAATCTTTTTTTAAAAACATCAAAACAATTTTTTTCTATTATAATTTTAGGTAAATTAAAAATTAACCTCATCATTTGAAATGTCAAATAAAAAAATTATAAAACAATTAAAGCAATATTTACAAGCAAAGAATTAATTAATTTAGAACGCCTTCATAAAGGAAATGCAACAACAACACGCTCCTGTATTGAGTTTCTGCAGGCGTTTTTCGTATATGGATACTGACTCCCTCATGAATCGAATCGATTTTTGATCACCACTGAATCGAATCGAATTGGAATTTTGATGCATCACGCACACCCCTTGTTTTAGTGGAACTAAACATTTACGTAGGAATTATTATAATGTTAGTGTGGGAACCAGGAAAAACTTTGAAAAACCACGATAAAACCTGGAATTTCACTTTGAAAAAATAGTGTACACCCTGTTTGTTATTCTTATGGAGAAAAAGAAAACAGTTTTGGTTTGTTTGTTTATGGATATATGTTGATCATACTTGGAAAATTGATTTATTCATCCTATACTATCAACATTTTGACTAAAAACACTTTAAGAGAACACAGAGAAGATCTAGTGATTCTCCACTGCCTTGTCCAATGCAAACTGCTGGTTGTTCAAGCGCTTGTTCTTGATGTTTATTAATTTTTTTTTTATGTCAATGTCACAGGGAAAAATACTCTACAGATGAGTTTTTTTCTCGCTTGGAACACATAAGGTTCAGTACAAACTCTATGATTCTTGTGTCACTTAATTATACTAGGGATGGACGGGATTGAATTTTTAGTTCGGGACGGGACGGGACGGGATTTTTCTGTGCATAAAAAGAAAGTCTTGAGTATTGCAGTTACCAAAAAAAGACATACAAAATCAATTTTTACCGTTTGTGGTACTGATCTATAAAAACCAAAAAATGGGTAACAATATACAGGTACCTATAGAAACTTGTGACTCGCGGTCACGGCGCGATCGACAGTATTACTCACGGCCACGGCGCGATCGTCGGCATGACTCCGCGGTCACGGCACGATCGTCGGCATGACACCGCGGTCACGGCGCGATCGTCGGCATGACTCCGCGGTCACGGCGCGATCGTCGGTATGACTCGCGGTCACAGCATGATTGACAGTATGACTCACGGTCACGGCGCGATTGTTGGCGATTGTTGGCATGACTCCGCGGTCACGGTGCGATCGTCGGTAGGACTCCGCGGTCACGGCGCGATCGTCGGTAGAACTCCACGGTCACGTCTTGATCGTCGGTATGACTCCGCGGTCACGGGGTGATCGCCGGTATGCCTCGCGGTCACGGCACGATCGTCGGCATGACTCCGCGGTCACGGCGCGATCGTCGGCATGACACCGCGGTCACGGCGCGATCGTCGGCATGACTCCGCGGTCACGGCGCGATCGTCGGTATGACTCGCGGTCACGTTGCGATCGTCGGTATGACTCCACGGTTACGATGTGATCGTCGGCATGACTCCGCGGTCACGGCGCGATCGTCGAAATGACTTCGTCTCCTGCGTTCGCGGACTATCGCTCGCAATAGCGGCGTCATCGGCACTCGCGAAGCGGCAAAATCGCCGACGATCGGACCAAATCCAGTCCCGAAAAATTCCCGAATCAAATGTAATCACGTCCCGATAATCGGGAATATTTTTTTCCCGAAAAATTCCCGAAATTTCGGGACCCGTCCATCCCTAAATTATACACATGACATCGATTACTGTGTTTTTAAAATATGTAATACTGAACTGTTAAGTAAACAACTGAAACATAATTCAAAGGTTTGAACACTATCCCACATTTTAAGAAAACACTTACTGTCACTTCTCTTGCAATATAGAAATCTATGGTAGAATCAAAAGGTTACTCAAAGAAAAGTAAACAAACTAAAACAAAACAAATTTAACAGCTGATATATCTTCATTATTTTTTTTTAATGTGAATAAATAGGTCTAGAGCCCTTTAATTGACATGACGTTCCTACCCGTAAGAGATCCTAGCTTTATATGTAGATGGGTAATAAATATGTCTTGTTTATGGAAATATTTTATTTACAATCCACTGAGACAAATTTAAATTTGCTTAGTCTGCAGGTTTGCTGCAGCCGAGATATTTTTATGCGTCATGCATATTTATCTTTTTAATGTAATATGTAGGCCTGAAAAATTGAAATTTTGTTCATTTTCTTTCTTCATTTTCTTTCTTCAGACCAACTTGAACAACGCAGAAGGCGCCGACAAAAGAGAGACCGGGAGGAACGGAAAAGGGAGAAGAAGATTGCAGAAGAAGAGCTGCGGCAAATGGGACGACATGCCACCCCGCGGCTGCGTTTGGACTCTTTTCACCACTTCCCTCAATGTGGCATTCCAGAAGATGAGATACCTTCCCCGCCACCTAGGTACTAGTCCCATCCTTTCAATGCCTCTATGTTTAGGACTTGAATAATTGGTTCAAATGTTTAACTTTTTACCTAATACTAGAACATCAAATCTGTTGGTGGTAAATAAGTGTAATAAACTTGAAAGGTTTAGTAATAATTGTCATTTTAAATTCCTGATTTTCATTTTTTTAGCATGCATTTGAGTTTTAAAAAATCTGAAATCGTCCATTATTTTTGTTTTAAATTTAATTCAATTACTTAACACATTTGCTTAGGGTTTTTAAACTATCCATCCTCACTTTAATCAAATTAAATAAATAGGATTAAATTTTTCTTCAATGGTGTTGCTTCCAGTTTTAATTTTAATGGTAAAATCCCGTCATTGTTGATTGAGGGTACTAGTAGTATTTAGTAGTAGTATTATATTAATCCTTTTTTGTAACACATTGTTCTAACAGTTCAGATTAATCAACTCTATTTCGGTGTATGATTAAGCATATAATTTTATGACAATTATATTTTATGAGACTTGAATACAGTTTGTCATACTCATACAAATATTTTATCATATTTATCCTAATATCATCATACTAATACTAATCTATATAATTAATATGCCAACAAGAAATTTGTCCATTGAACTCCTCCGCCATTTCTCAACTGATTTTGACGATTCACGTTTCATTTGAATGAGCGTACCGCGTAGATTTGCAAACTGGCCTTAGTTTTTTTTAAGTCCCTTGGGCTTTGCCGTGGTGGCTTTTTAAGTTCCTATGTTATAATTATGAAGAACATATTTGTTTACATTAGTGATGGGTTGGTACTACTTTTTCAATGTCTGTACCGGTACCGGTTCCTAACCAAAATCGGTTCACTCGGTTCCGATACCATCGGTACCTGATTTTAAGTTAGGCTACTTAATTGTTTCATTTTTAAAACTAAATATCCCTATTTCAATTTTTTTAACTGATTATTTTTCACTAGATGACAACCCGTTGTGGTTAAATACAACGGTATCAAGGAAAATGAAATCCATTCACCACTTAACTCACTAATATTAATGGTACAGATTAAGCCCAAAACTTTAGAAACACACACATAACTTAAGGAACACACTTAAACCACAAATGCAAATTGTGAACAAAAACATACATGTAAACAAAAAAAATTAATGAAATAACAATACAACAATCAGCTGTTAAATTATCAACATGTGTTTCATATGATTAGATTATGCATGCCAGAAAAAACCCATCAATGCCATAAATATTTTAAAGAATTGGGGTCTGCATTCGGTACAGCAGCATTTTACATATAATAATAAATTACTTATCATAATCAACGTAGTTGGTTCTGAGCACAAAAAAGTCTTATCAGATGTTTGTTTGCCTACTGCCATAAAACTGTTTATGGCTTCATATTAAAGTTGTAACTAATCTACAATCTTATTTTACAAGTTAAATAATTTGTTATGGATATTTTATCTTTCTATTGATGAAACCAGAAGCGTAGTAGTAGTTGTTGTTTGCATAATTTTTTTCCCATTATGCAAGCCTACTCGGTCTTAAATTATGTCATTGCATGTTCTGTATCTTGTCTTATATTGTTGGATGTGGCTGTTAAGGTTTAAACGTGTTATGTTTCCTATACTTTTTTATTGTGTTAAAGGTACTTTATGCAATCTAAATCTTATTAACTAGAATTATGATAGTGATTTTGCTACCCTCATTGTAACCTACTCAATTTATATAGGCCATCCTAAATAATTAGGTCTAGGCCTGGGTCTTTTGACTCTTTGGAAGATCTTTAAAATATACTAAGAAAATTGGATTGAGTCTGAGATAATGAACTAATGATTGATATGTGTGGATGTTAACTTAGTACATGAAAAGACAATAATATTACTCTGTGGTAATCCAAATTTTAGTTTAAGAAAAAAACTTTGCAAGAGATGTATCCATCTTATAATTAGTTTTCAAGCTGATAAAAAAGATGCTCTTTGCCATTACTTCATCATAACACCCTGTTTTTCATTGTCATCTGTTGAATGTGAATAGCTGTCAACTACACTGTTTTTGTACTGAATGCTTTTATATGTTTTTAAAAGTTTAAAATACAACTAGACATTGTATTAGTTGGAAATAATTTTTATCATGCTATTCAAAGTAGCCTATCCCAGAGTAAAATAGGTAAAAATAAATAGATAGTAAATAAATAAGTAAATAGGTAAAGCCTTTATCTTAACTGTGATTTTTCTTGACACAATCCTTGTAGGAGTAAAAGGTTTTAATAATGTGTGGTATAGTAATTGTTGTTAGAAAACCATGAATGTAGGATACTATCCATTTTCATAGTAATGTCAATGTATTAACCCTAGCAGTGGCCAATGTTAGAAGTGGGGAATGGTCAACCCATTTTGGCGATTTTGCAGACCTTTTTTTGAAAATTCGTAAAAATTCAACTGTACAAGTAAACCTAGCCAACCTCATATTCATTTTGTTTGGAAAGAACAGGAGAATCTAGAAATAGTAATATCATAATGATGTAGACAGTGTATTTTATCGGTTAAGTGAAAAAAATAAAAAAAAATTTGATTTTTATTTGTGAAATTTCAAAAGTGGCCTCGGTATTTTTTTTCCTATGGATTTTTTATGGGAAATTCATTATATACATTTTGTAGACAATCTAATTCCCTACATAGAAATATATATCATGTTAGGAAAATTTTTTTTATAAGTTTTTGGGGCAAAATATAATGACAAACGCAGAACCGAAAAAATGGAAAACCGTATAGTGTTAGTTTATGTTGTAAAAAGTTATATAATATATGTGTATACTAATAATGATATATATATGTTTGTAAAGCTAATTAAGTAAGGAATCAAAAAAAGTCATAAAGTTTATGGTAAAAATTATTTTTTTACCTATAAACATATGTATATAAAATAATGTTTTTATATTTTAGTGATTTCGTGAGAAAAAAAATTCACAGTATTTGGTATACAACTTTTGTAGCAAATTTTGTTACTTCAAACCAACATAATAATCTTGTAGTGTATTCAATTACCTACATAAATATGTATAACATGTTGGAAATATTTTTTTTTTTTTGTACGTAACAGGGACATAATAATGGGTGAGGTTCATTTGTCCGAGTTTTCAACTGTCCAAGTTTGTTAAAAATCACAAAATATTTGAAAAATCATTTGTCCGAGTTTTCATTTGTCCAAGTTTTGATAAATAACTAATAGAACTACTATTGACGTATGGTCAAAAAACACTGTTTACCTTCCCCGTAGCAGCAAACCTAAGCACTTGCTTATTTATAGAAATATTTTATTAGGCGCGTAAACTGCCATCGGCAAGACTGGAAGTAAACTGAATACTGGCGTTGCCTTCGCCTGGCAGTGGTGAGCAACGCCTCCTAGTCTGCCCTATTTTGTGACCTAATTTTGAAACAAGATGCTTTTTGCCAACGTATTATTCGTGCACTTAAAGTTATTTTAATTTTTAAGCGCTATAAAAATTTACACCACCTAAATATATTGTACAGTTAGGCCCAGCGCAAACGGTGTGACTGTTTTACAACAACTGTTGCAAGCCAGTTGCAACTGAAACAAAGCCTCTGTCCGCACACGGTGTGACTGTTTTAAAACTACAGTTGCGTCTATTGTGAAATCAGTAAAGTGTCAATTTAAAGTGCAGTTACGTTGATTTAAGGCCTTAAGCACGCTTACTACGCCAGACTCATACGAAGAAGACGTTATTAGCTATTATCAATACCGAAGACAGCGAAGGGTACTGAGAGAGCATTGTGTTCACCCTTATTTGAGCAAGAATATTAGTACTAGGCTGTTGTAGCAGCTAGAGCTAGTGGGATAGGAAATTATAAACACTAAAAACACTATACGACAGTCAAAATACCACCAAACACCACAAAAACACCCTGTGGTCTCGTGCAACTGAAGTCTGCAACGCAACTGTAATGTCGGGCCCACGGTTGTATGTGACTGATTTCAAATCGCATACAACCAGTTGCGTCGTGTGTGCCTCCCCACTGCAATACATTGCCGAGGTCACAAAAGAGTTGCACGAGCAACTGGTTTGCAACGACAGTTGTAAAACAGTCACACCTTGTGCCCTGGGCCTAATTCACCGAGTATATTGTTGAACGTTTTGAAGACGTTGCCTATTTTAATACTGAGCACGTGTTGGCTGACAATACAGGTTCTTAATTGTAAATTGAAAAACTTATAATTTGTCCATTAATTAGATATAACTTTGCATTGTTAAATGACGTTTCCTATTAAACATTTAATTTTGATTATCAGCAAGTTTGTTTTTATTTACCTCAAGTTTACTAAATACTACTACTAAAATTTACTAAATACAACCACTATAAAAGACCAGCACACACATACAATTTTTATATCTTAACAGTCAGTACCTCTAAATACATTTTGGTTTCAATAATTGTACCATTGAAATAAGTTTATTAAAAATTATTAGCCTATGCAAAAATTACCATCCCAGATTATCGGGCATTTATGCAAAATAAGCATTTATCCTGTTATAAATACCCGGTTATTTTATGTCGCAAAATAAGCATTTATCCTGTTATAAATACCCGGTTATTTTATGTCATGCTTCCTAATTGATAACAATAATGCACACAGAAAAATATATTTCACTAAAGACTTCCATAATCTTATTTCATACAAACGTGGCTTGTGTTTATGAATCAATGAACTTTGATAGATTATTATGCGAGCATTGAGAGCATTGAGAGCATTGATATGAGAGCATTGAGAGCATTGATATGAAATTTATAATTGTGCAAAAATAATCGTTTTAGACGTTTTGGTTCAGCCTTTTTTCACGATCGTCCTATTGTATGGAAGTGCGTATGTCAGCAGCAGTGGCTTCACATGTGTTTCCAGACTGATTTTACTAAAGTTCCAACAAAAATTCCCTGCGAATCCCTGTCATTAGGCTCTGCTTCGGATTTGGTCTCGACCAACAATGAGCCTGACTTTCATATCATTAGGCTCTGACTCGTGAACCCATTTTTTTGTTGTAGCTTATATAGTCCGGGACCAACGTCTGGTCGCGGACTATCAAGTGCCGAGCTCTTGAACCGCCCCTTAAAGTTTATCTCTGATAAGGGGTTGAATTTGAAAATTAATTAATTTATCATTCATTATTGATGGACCTAAACAGGTGTACTCTTATGATTGTGAAACTTATGTTTGCTTTTTTGTGGAAATCCTTGCTTTTGAAAGAGACATGCTTAAATACGGTACCATAAACATGGTCAAATTTTCCATATTACTCAATATGATCAAAATTATCTGATACGGACTAGATCCCGTCTAGCTTATGTTCTAAAAAAAAACAGTAGTGTCTGGTTTATAATGTAGTGAATTAATTGTTGTTCCAGAGTGACCTCAGCAGATTCCAGTAGAACCAGCAGTCCATTATCTCGCAGATCTGTTTCCCCCACTCCCGCTCTTGCTGCACTGACCCTCGACTCTTATGATTCTGGCCCCTCTTTTGCTCAGGTACACTAATAACTAGAGATGGACAAGTCTCAAAATTTCGGAAAATTTTCAGGAAAAAATATTTCTATTCATTGTGACAAGACTGCATTTGATTCGTTTGTTGAGGATTTTGCCAACGATTTTTTGAATGACGATGATGCTTTTTACACGATCGTGGGAAATGTTGCTGGTATGGCAGACAATGATTATGTCTCCTCAAACGAAAAATATGTTCACTATGATTCCTGGTAGGAACCTAGAAAGAGATGACTACGTCTCCGTGATTGCGACAGATGATCAAGATGACGCTTCGAACACGGGGCGTGGTGTCGATGATCATGACGTGACTGCAGTGTATGTTGCAGGGTGTCAAGTAGGGGTGTACGAATAGTGATTTTCAACCTCGAGCCGAGCCGAGCCGAGCTTTTTAAAAAATTTTCAAGCTCGAGCTTTTTCGAGCCGAGCTTTTCCTAGCGTCACCTTATCTAAATTATTAAACTTTTTTTCTTAAAACAGTGCATAATAATAATAATAATGTTCAGTCAATTTTTAAATAAACACAATGTTATTTTAATACATATGTTTAAAAACATTGAGAATTGTCAAGACACCAAGTAGTAGATAATCACGATAAGAATTGAACTAAATTAAGATGCAAGAAATAAAAGGATATCGATTGAAGGGCTGACGAGATATGCAGTGGAGACAGAGACAATCAGATTGTCTTTCATAACAGAGCAGCAACTCGACATTGAATGACGACAGCAAGTCGATTACATAATGTATATTGTAACTACTATGAATATCTAATTCTATTTTGTATAAATAAATACAAAATAAATTTAAAAACACATGATTATTCTTGTTGTTTTCATTACACAAAATATTTTTGTTTCATGAATTGTATTAATCAAAAAAGAACATGGTTTGTTTGGATCCAAAAAGGTGGAGAGACAAGTAAAAAGTAAACTTATATATTTAAAAAATATAATTGACATATAGAGGAAATAGACCAAAACACTAAAACTAATAGAATAACACACAACGTAAACAAGAAATGAAATACAGAATAGTGATTTAACACTGTCTCTGTCACTTAATTTTGTTATCTAGAAGGGTCGGCAAACTAATCAATAAATAGCCAAAACCAGTTTCCTCCCCTTCTCACAGTCTCGCCGAACCCCTCCCACCCTAAGCCGGGAGGCCCAACACTTTGTCCTTGAAACACCCTAGCCTCTGAAACAATAAACCCTTACACCCGCCTGCGTTGCTGTTTTGACAACAGGTTTATGAATGCGATCACTATTTTTCATTTTCCAGAATTAACTATCAATTATTATTATTTGCAAGTTACAAATTGGAAACTACATCACATTATGGTATTCAATGATCCATGTACTATCAAAAATTAATAATTCATTACTTATTTTGATAATACAAAGCATTCATTACAGCACGCACCACTTATCGATATATATATATATATATATATATATATATATATATATAACGATGTACGGAGGGATAATGCTACTTGATTTTTAGATTCAGTGATATCACTACCGGCCGTCCCCCCTCCGCGCCACTTCCGGCGTTCGAGGCCGGGTAGCAGTATCCCTCACTCAGTATTTACTCGAGCCGTGCGTCGATTCTACGCCAGTTGATACGAAATGCAGGATAGTACTACCTAAAATACGTGTTGCCAACTGTTGAATTAAACCCCACTGTCATCTCACAACTTCTTTATTTACTGTTATTTTATTCTTTAACTAGCTGTGTGCCCGTTCTACGCACGGGGATCTTATAGTAGTCAGTTGAAACCTTCTTATATTAAGATTAAGAACAACAGTTAGTTTGCATATTTGCAGATATGCTGGCAAAACTATTATATATAAACCTTCGCAAATACAGTATCTGACAGTTCAAGCCAAAATAAATGCTTCGCAATTAAATGTCACCCGGATCGTCGTGGTCCATATGTCCAATGATTAAACTAAAAAATGTTTTATAGATCCATGAAGCGTAGCCCTAAAGTAGGCCTATAATTGAAAGTTACTTTCCACATCGGTTAACTTAAACGTATTTAAAGTACTACCTCAACCTCACCATTTAACACTTTATTCCGGTTGACATTTTCAGTATCAAAGGTGCTCTTGTCCATTCCGTGAAACACTGAGAAATAAGGACATTAATGCGTTACCAACAGACATACACACAACAATCCAAAAAAGGCCACGAACTATTGATACATAAACAATATAAAGGCGTAAACAATTCATGATGGTTTGCCCAACAAATGTTTTACTCAAATAGGTTATCATTTTCTTAGCATACCGGGTAAGCTAAGATTTGGAATCCAGACAGAAAAAGCAAAACTTATACAGAGTTAAGACATCACTTAAATTGAATACGGACGGCTCTAATAAATAAGGTGCAACACCAACGATAACTAATTTGTAAACTACAGTGATGTGTTGGTACCTACGTAAAAATGATTCTAGCAGCTACCAACGGTTCTAAGGAAAAGAACCAGTACCTACGTAAGAACCTACCGAACAACTATAGTACATCCGACCAGTTAAATACATTAATATCTAGTCCCGAGGTTATTGATCTCTTGCTTTTGGATTTTCTCGTAAAAAGTTATAGCGTAAACTTATCGGTGTCAGTTTGAAAAAAAAAAACAACCTTACACAAACAACTTTTTGTTATTTAATAGATTACGCATTCTCAAAACAATGATTAGTATATCTATTAACATTAGAAGGAAATGTGACGAAAATCACACAATGTTGGGGTTTTGGTCATTTGTAATTATATTTCTTAAGTAGGTAGGCCATGTATTCTATGGAAAAGTACCGGTATCAAGGATCGTCGTCAAAAAGGTTGTTATGAATAAATATGTAGGCTTACGTACCCAAGATATGAGCTATGGGCCTATTGGCTGTATGGTCCAGCGATTGCATCACACGGTGAGTAGAAACAGAAAGTGACACATTGGAAAAGCGAGTTTAGCACTTCCTCTGTTAAACCTCTGTTACAATCACCCACTGCAGTTGTGATTTTTTACTTTACACTTTACACAACCGCCATTGAAGCGCCGTCAATGATTGGAAACCTTTTTTGTAAGCTATTGGCGACGATCATTTCAGTGTCCAGCCCTATACAACACTGATTCAAGGTCTTCTTTCTGGTTGTCAAAACTCAAGAAACATTTTATACTCAAAGAATTTCTGGTTCCGATTTGGACGATGTCTAGTTATTTAATTTTATTTACGGTTACACTATTAGGCTATATTATTGCACTTGCGATTAATTAAATCCGTTATGTAAGAAAAACGTTTTTAATCTCACTTGGTTGGGATTTGCTTTCACAACGTGATTCGAAATGGTTGCGGTATTTGTAAACAACATTTGTAAACATATCATTGACAGCTAGAAAAAATAATCTTGATCCGAACAGCTGTTCGTTATTTCATAGACGATTATCTATACAGGGTGTCCCGGAACTCTCTACCAATATTTTAGGGCATTGCTCCTGGGTAAGAAACATACCTCAATATCATATTTAAATTGTCCGGAAGTCCTTGGTTACTCACCCAGCCACCATTTTGTTTCTTTCAGTTATTAATTTTTTTCTAAAGAATGGTTAAACATACGAAATGGAAACTTTGCACAAACATTTATGACAACTAGACAAAGCTACAAAAAAATTATGAAGATTTTTCAAAGTCATAAAACAAAATTGCGGCCATTTAAAATTTTGTTTCTTAAATAACTCAAAAACCATTGATTTTACAGAAATTTTAAATGGCCACCATTTTGTTTTATGAATTTTAAAAATCGTGATAATTTTTTGGTAGCTTTGTCTAGTTGTTATAAATGTTAGTGCAAAGTTTCCATTTCGTATGTTTAACCATTCTTTAGAAAAAAAATAATAACTGAAAAAAAACAAAATGGTGGCTGTGTGAGTAACTAAGGACTTCCGGACAGTTGAAATATGATATTTAGTTATGTTTCTTACCCAGGAGCAATGCCCTAAAATATTGGTAGAGAGTTCCGGGACACCCTGTATATATAATTCCGTAAGTCAAATTTTTGTAAAGAAATTGTGAGTGACTGGATGGCCGTAGAAGGATGGGAGGGGTCTTATTTTAAAGGTCTTGACGTGAATTTTGAGGGAAAACTATTCATTTTTCTTATTTTTTTTTACCATAAATTCACAACAGAATAAAACTTTTCCCATTAAAACAACATGGGGTTTAATTTGTTTACATCTTTTGAAATTAAAACAGCTGTGCCACAGATTTGAAAACAGTGATCAATACACACATTTGGTTTACTTTTAGCCAGTCAACTATGAAATGTATACTATAATAAAACTGAAATATTGAAGATTAGTCGGAAAAACGTCTGCATTCTTTGTTTATATTTAAATCATATACTCAAGTTTCATTTTTTCATGCTTTTACGTTATTGTCGTGTTAAAGGAATAAACGACATAGAATAAATATTTTGTATAAATAATCAAAGAGTCGAAATTAAATCTAACTTGTGTTTTGTTTTTATTTTTAAATCATATGTTCAAGTTTATTTTAAATGATGTTGTTTTCTTTATATTTCTACACATTTTAAGGTTAAGGTTGTGTAAATATATACAACTAAAATAACCTATAAATGTTATTGGTTCTAAAATAGTGGATTTGCATTCCTTCGTAAGTAAATTTTTAGTGCAGTGAATATACAACGTAGAGTAATCATATTCTATCATACTTTTATAAAATCACCAGGGATTCAAGATGTTTTGGTATGTAGGCTGCTGGATATATATTCTTTTCATTATAAGTACTGTAATTAATATGAACGCCAGGGGAATACCACAAAGGCGGGGAACTGTTCATAGGAATGACAGTGCGCGTAGGAGAGCAAGAGTAGATAATGACGAACTTAATCAAGATATGTTACAACCCCTTTTTAGGAGACCCATGGTAGACGAGAGAAATGTGAAGATCCATGATGCA